TTTTTTAAAGATAAAAGTCAAAATGACATTGTGTTGGCAATACAATGTAAAATTGTCAAAGCTTTTAATTTTTTTATGTAGAAAAGGCTTGTGTTGCCAACATAGTTACTAAATTTTTGACTTGAGGAATTATCTTTTAAAAAAAAACAGACTCTATCCTACTGACTTAAATGTTGTGAACCATTCTACCTGTCAAGGTGACAGCTGTAGGTAAAAGAGGCACTTGGTTTCTTCAGAGGAGAGTTGTTGGTTAGAATAGAATCAGGGTTCATCCTGCGCAACTGGCCGAATTTGAAGGACCACCATTTTTATCACTTGTCAAATTAGGAAGATAATATCCAAACCAAACCAAAGATGATAACTGGAAGCCTCCACTGCGAAACGGATCAAGAGAACGGATTAGAACAAGAGCTTGGACAAGATTCGTGATTCTACTGGATGATTTATAAACAGGATGTCAATACATGGTGTCGATAATGTGCGACATGCGCAGCAAGTTAAGGACCCAAAACACGATCTAAGGGACAAATGAAGCAGTACAACGTGGGGATGCCTTTTGAACAAAAGGCAATAAATATAGCCGGTCCATTCCATACGACGCGCAGTGGCAACAAATACATTCTGGTAACCATGGATTATTTCAGCAAGTGGCCTGAAGTTTTCGCAATTCCAAACCAGCAAGCGCCCACAGTTGCGAAAGTCCTGTTCAACAATGTTGTAGGGCGCAAATTCAAAAACTTTGCGAACTGCTAAAGATAAAACGAGAACAATAGCATTACATGCACAATCAGATGGTTGAGAGGTTCAACAAAACGATCCACGAACATATTGTCTCTAAAGAAGTTAACAAACATCAAGACGATTGGGACGGGCATATCCCTCTACTCCTGATGGCATACAGGTCAGTTGCAGCAATACAGGAGTTACACCATTCAAGGTTGTGACTTGGTGTTCGCCGACATGGAAGCGGAAGATTATGCTGACGATTTATGGAAAAGTTTGTTTGACATCCATGAAATAGTAAGAGATAGAGTTCGTAAGTGATCGAATGAAAATCACATATGGTGTTAAGACGAACTGTGCAGGTTTCCAGGATAATGAGAGAGTTTGGCTTTATAACCCTCAATAGAAGAAAGGTTCATCTTCGAAGCGAACATATACTTGTTTAACGCCGGGCAGCATGCTTTTTCTGGGAATTGTATTACATCCGCTGTTTTTCTAGATAGATCCGGAGTGCGATTCCGACGATAAATAGCGCGTAGTGATAAGTGTGAGTTTCGATGAGTGGTAAGTGAATTGTTTAATAAAAGTTATTACTTTTTATGCAACAGAGAGTTTAAGTGAAACCGAATTCCTTGACAGTATAATATCAACTGAGCACAAACATGTATTTGGCTCTACTACACTGCAGCACATCGGCTTGCAAGTCCCCTCACATACTCGCAATACAATAGGAACAATAGAACTTTTTATGTACCTACCTTACCATAGAACAAATTACCAATAATACATCTCCTAAGAATAATGTTATTAAATTATCATGGAGATCAAAACCTTTTAGACATATTTGGATACTCACTCATAAAGCATTTAAATTACATAAAACTAGAAGCACATTTGTTCTGTAATCTTTAGATATGTAGCTTAAAATGTTGCTAAAAATGCCTTGGCATATGCCCATTATTAGATGTTATTCTCCGGCTAGTCCTAGTTTCTTTTTAAATCTTAGTTCAGTTTAGTTTGTATGTTAAATACAACTGTTGAAAGGGTTCATCAACCTGTATTAATAGTTTCAATAAATAAATAAGCTTAAGAGTCACGACAAAAAACTGCAAAAGGAAAATGTACCTAAGCCTGGTAAGATTTTTTTTTTATAACAGAGTGAATAAAGTGATACAACCGAGGGGAGGGTCACTCACCAAAATTTGTACACCTATTTATAAATACAAATAAATATGTAAGTATTTGCTGTATTTAAATGTATTTACTTCTTAAATTTTATTTAAAAGTATTTATTTGAAAATATTTAAAGTTACTTAAATGTATTTAAACATATTTATTTATATTTATATGTATTTATTGTAATTTATAAGTAGGTACCAAAAATTAACAGTGCTATGGAAAATACATCTCACAATACTATGTTTTTCTTAATTATTTTGAAGTTCTTATCTATGAGCAGTTTATCAGCTCTTCTGCCTCTTCTTAGCTGAAAAGGGTAATTTCCTACAAGGCTTATGGGTCAATAAATTACAAATTTCTTGTCCAAGGACTGTATATCTTGATTGGTTATTATAGGGGCCATAAGTACCCTGAAACTCTACCGATCTTAGAAATTAAAATATGACTTTTCAAAGTTTTCCAACATCTAAATCATAAGCCATCTTCTTACTAAAACGATGAAATATCAATTTTTTTGTTGTTGAGATTTTGTGTCCTACTTAATGGTCCTTTGGGATCCCCCGAACTCTATACACTAAATTATTCTGAGATTTGGAGTCGGATTCTATAAAAAAAGGCACTCAGAAAAATTGAAAAATTGATAAATCACCCCAAATTGCTTAACACGATTTTATCTCAGGAAATATACTTAGGTTTATTTGTTTGTGTCGCACTAACTTGAACTGAGCTATAATTATTTCAGATTATGGCAGATATAACCAATAACATAACACAAACGAACGCCCCAAAGCAGGAAGTGCTGCTCCAAACAACACAAACAAACAAACCTTATTATGAGTCCAACCAAATTTTGAAGGATTGTAATCTTCTACTGTGATAAGAATCGCTGGAAATTTCAGCTTTCTATCTATAATAGAACAAAAGTTATAGCCGAACTCCATACACTGAATTCTGAGATTTCGAGCCAGATTCTATGAAAAAAGGCACTCAGAAAAATTGATAAATCACCCCAAATTGCTTAACACGATTTTATCTCGGGAACTATAAGTCCAAATGAGCTGAAATTTTCAGGGATTGTAGTCCTCTACTGGGATAAGAATCGCTGAAAATTTCAGCTCCCTATCTTTAATAGAAAAAAAGTTATGACCTTTCAAAGTTTTCCAAAATCTAAATCATAAGGTAGCTATTAGACTGTGAGATAGGGACTGTTTAGTGGAGTCTTTTTTCTTTGTCTAGCATTTTGAGGGCTGAATGTGGCTAGTTAGCTGATGAGAATATGTTTATTTTAATGCCTGCCGCCCGTTCGAAAATTTGGAAAAGAAAAAATTTTATTTACATGAAGAATTTTTTTTTAATGATCTCGAATTTTCTGGCTTTTTAATTAAATATTGACATTGATAAATAATTCACCAATAAAAAATACCAGATGCTTTCCAATAGATGAAAAAGTGAGGATAAGTGTCAACTTCCAAAAGAAAAGAAAGGTTTTGTTGTGAAAATAACGCTGAAAAATCGCCAGACGGTAATCACAGTTCGAAATCGAGCAAATCCGCAAAACATTCTGTGGACATTTCGAACAGGGAGCAGGTATTGAAACCACTTATATTCTCATCAGCTAACTAGCCACATTCAGTTCTCAAAATGCCAAAAAAAAAAAAATGACTCCACTAAACAGGCTCTATCTCCGGGTAAGAAGGTATATTCTTACTGAAACGATGAAATTTCAATTTTTTTTTTGTTGAAATTTTGTGTCCTAATGGTCATTTGGGATACCCCAAACTCCATACACTAAATTATTCTCAGATTTGATGCCGAAATCTATGAAAAAGGGCACTCAGAAAAATTGAAAAATTGATAAATCACCCCAAATTGCTTAACACGATTTTATCTCGGGAACTATAAATCCAAATGAGCTGAAATTTTCAGGAATTATAGTCCTCTACTGGCGTGAGAATCGCTGAAAATTTCAGCTTTCTTATAATAGAAAAAAAGTTATGACCTTTCAACTATATTATATTTTCCACTGGCTCCACAAATAATTTACCACAAAATTCAATAATAGATCATCGCATTTATCAACGAGTGTGATCAGTGAATAAAAACTTGTTCATGCTTGTCTATAGTCGAGTCGGCAGGATGCGCTGTATTTCACCCAAAATTTCGGGGGAAAATCGAAGATTTTTTTGTATTTCAATCTATTTATCCATATTTAATTCTATTTGTTTATATTTAAATGTATTTATTTGTATTTAAATGTATTTATTTCTATTTAAATCTATTTATTTGTATTTAAATCTATTTATTTGATTTAAATGTATTTACGCATGTATTTTTCTATTTATTTGTATTTAAATAAATACATTTCTCTTCGAACATTAAATAATACATTCATTCTTGCTCGATATTGAACTGTTTAATGATACTAATTCTACACGCCCCGTGGATAATAATCGGAATCCACGGCCTATTGACCAATCAAATTCGCAGTATTTTCGGAATACACGGGCCGCAACGAGACAATACAAACAAAACATGACTGACGTCTACTGTCAGATCACGAAACTTTCAATTTAAAAAAATTAAGGCGGGTTTAGATTTTTGATGATTGTTATTTCTTACAAAAACCAATGATTTTCTTTCAAAAAGTTCAAAGAGAAAGTATAGTCTTCTACTCGCAAATAATGGCTATTATTCACTCGAATGATTCCAACACTCGCCTTCGGCTCGTGTTTGAATTTTCATTCTCGTGAATAATAGCCATCATTATATGCTCGTTGAAGAATATACTATTATCGAATTTGTACACCTATTTATGGAGTGACCTGCCCCTCGGATACAACAGTGATTTCCTTTCTTGGAAGCTAGTGTCTGCTCCTAGCCAAAATTCCTATTGGAAGTTTGCTATCAAAACCAGAAAATGATTTTAATTTGTTCTAAATGTGTTTCCTTTTGACTTTTTTCATTGAAATATAGCATCAAACTGTTCTAGGTAGTTTAACTGTTGAAAAGAACTGCTCATACATATTTATATTAAACCAGGCCAAATGTTATAAGGAGTCTTTGTAATGCTCAGAAAACATGTTTCCAGGAAAAAATATCTAGCTACAAACCACAGAACTTGTTGATGCCACTATAACCAGCAGACGGTACCTTTTTGAATTCACTAAAATATTTTTGCTGGGACAAAACAAACAGATCCTTAAAAGCAAACTTATCAAAGAAACCTTACCTATGATAATCTCCTGGAATGTATATAGTGGCAGACCTTTCGAAAGGTCCATAAAGATCACAACCATCGTTACTTGTGGAACTTGACTTTCTTCTAGGTGAAGGGTTCGGTGGATGATGTTGAGGTGAATCTGTAAATCTAAGATAATTCATTCGAGTAAGAAGTACATTAGTAATACATGATACATACACGTCAACGTTATCGAGAGGTAGTAGTGAATGAAAATTAGAAAAAGAAAATACACCATATAAATAAAACAGAAATATTCCCAGAAATCAGAACATCATTAATCTCAGTTTCTAATTTTCATACAGTAGGAAAAGATTTTTGATGCCCTTATAGTAGGTAGGCCAAGGAAGTCAACATTTACTCACTTGGACTCCTTCTGCCAATTTATCCAAGAAGCCTATAAATAGCCAATCTCAGATTGTTGTGGTTCAAGACCTTGGCAGATTTATATGCTATGCTATACAGGGTGTCCCACGGTGGATGGCGTATTAGACGTTTATGGAGAACTAAAAAGCGGATCATATTGAAAATTTGGCAACCGGGATAAACGACCATACTTTAAAAATATTTTTGTTTATGCGGTGTTGCTTCTACTCTTAATCAGTGGCAACATCGCTATTTTAAATGGAACACCCTGCATGTGATTGCATATTTGGATTCTACGTAAAATTCTGAACAGATTTCATGTGATATACCCTATACCTCAGTTCAACTATTTCGGAAATATTGACAGTTGAAAATTGAGTTTTTGCAACTTTGACAGGTTGTAAAACCTAAACGGTTAATTTTAGAGGAACACCGATTTAACATTCCTATCTTAGATTTTCATAAACTATCATTTGACACCAACTCTGAATTTAACCGGAGATTAAATTTAATTGGAATTTTTAATCATGGATTAAATACAAAGCTGGTGTCAAATTATAGTTTATAAAAATCTAAGATAGGAATGTAAAATCGGTTTTCCTCTAAAATTAACCGTTCAGGTTTTACAGCCTGTCAAAGTTGCAAAAAGTCAATTTTGAACTGTCATTCTTTCCAAAACAGTTGAACTTAGGTATAGGGTATATAACATGAAATCTGCTCAGAATTTTACGTAGAATCGAAATATGCAATCACATACAGGGTGTTCCATTTAAAATAGCGATGTGCCACTAGTTTAGAGTAGAAGCGGCAACACCGCATAAACAAAAATATTTTTAAAGTGTAGATTATGGTCGTTTATCCCGGTTGCCAAATTTTCAAAATGATCCGCTTTTTAGTTCTCCATAAACGTCTAATACGCCAACCACCGTGGGACACCCTGTATAAGTTTCTTTCATAAAAGCTTCGCATGGAAAACTCACCAATAAACTTAGTCTCAGTGTGAATAACAAGCCTGAATGGCCTTTATTCTCATTCGCAAGATATTGCGAGAAAATCTAAATATTCTGATAACAAAACAGGTTGGGTTGGTTTTTCCATAGTGAATCTATGATACACTTCGAAAACCTCATATTCTTACCTCAATGGTCGTTTTTCTTCATTCTGTAAAGTAAGAAGTTGCGACCCCGTCAACATTGGCCTATTGTGTTTTATGGGCCCATGATAGGTATTGTGATTGTATCCAGATATTGTCGAATATTCGTAGTCTTGGGGTTCTACGGGTCTCCATGCTGGCATATCTACTACTTCTATCCGACTAAAATTATAAAGTTTTATAAGATAATTTGAGATTTATTAGATATGTTATTACCTATTTGGTTGTAGTTTCGGATGCAAAGGTGATATATTTGACAGTCTCACATCGTAACCGGTAGCTACTCCGGCTAACATGGCAGCAATGTTATACAAGACTAGTTCTACTATGCTCAGCTTTGGTTTTAGTCTTTGACCTGACAATGAGATGACATAAAATAGAAGGTTAATAGGGCGGCTCATCTATTTATGCAATCAAAACAATGAAACCAATATATTGCATCGAAAAAAATGTTTCTGCAGAAAATGTTGGAAATACCTCTAGCTTTGTTTACTTATAAGCACATTTGAAATGCGGTTTTGGTGCACTTTTTTGGAACTCTTCCTTGTGAAGATTAGGTATTTATTTTTGTATTCTTGTTTTTACCTGTCCTCACTTATGCTCACAGCTACTGGAATTCTTGATTTCCAAGATAAATTATTTTTGTTCATATTAATAAGAACAGGGACGTTCCTTCTGTTATTCTCTCCTAGTATTGAATTATTATCTTAAGAGCTGCATTTTATTCCACCTTTGAGAGTTGAAACTATTTCTCCAAATTGCTGGCACAAATGAAGAAGATATTGGTTTCATATAATTTAACGCACCCGAATTCATGCATAAATAGAAGAGCCGCTGTTAGTAGTTATCAAAGTATAATTAATTTCTCACTTCTTACTTACCTTCTGCATCATACAACGTAGGCATGGGTATGTTATGCCTGACAGCTCCTGAAATTGGATATTCGGGTCCCCAATCTTCTGGTGGTACGTAATCTGTCGAAATGAAACATTTTTTTTTGTTGTTCACCTGTACTTTCTGTTATCAACAAGCTGGTACTGGTACACCATCAATACACCAATTCGTTAAGAGCGCATATTAATTGTTATTTCAAAGGCAAAAAGTATACTTAGGTTTTAGACTGCGAAATTTGGAAATAATTATTGAATCTAATAGCTAGCTCTATAACTGTAGCAACCTGAAAGAGTTACTTAAAAAAAAAGTAATTGGATCTGATAGCTCTAGAAAAGCCGGAGTTATAATGTTCCCTGTATGATGATCTTTATTATTACATATTTTTAAATTCTTTACTGATTTTCCCATAGCTACCAAATCTGAGGGTTTATCTAAAGTAATAAAGAACACGCCAAGTAAATTTTTATTGAGATACAAAGCTAATTTTTTCATATGTTCAGGTTCAGGTGAAAACGTTTTTGAAAGAAGGAGGGTTTTGTATTTCGTGCAATTTAATAAATCAACTCAGTGCAGACTAGAGCGCTAGGCCATCATCAGTGCAACCTGCAAGCAAGAGAAAAACTTTCTTCATCTCATTTTTGTAACTCTAAGAATATTTTTATTATTGAAAAATCTGTAAAGAAAACTGGAAAGTTAGAACGTTGCTCTATTTTTTTAATACTTACTTCGTCAGGTAAAAATACAAGTGTTTACAGTTGGAGTTGAAACAACATACATTGAAAACGAAGTATGTACCATCGTCACCAAAAATATCTGGGACAAAGATAATGCATAATAATCTCCTGGACTAATTCTATCGTCATTCATTTCAACGCATTTAATTTATAGTTTGACAAATATTTGACAATAGGTCTGTTTCTGCAGAAATCAAAAACCAGTCAGAGTGAATTTCATTGGTTGAAACTAGTTTTCTGACTGTTTCTGACTGTTTTTAACCAATGAAATTCGCTCCAACTGGTTTGTGATTTCTGCAGAAACAGACCAAATAAAATTCATATAATAGTACAAGAGCTAATATGGTGCTGTCCCAGTTACTTTTGGTGACGATGGTAGATGGACATTACAACACTTTAAAATTTCTTAATATATTATTATCACAAATTATTTAAATATCACATTATGCAAGAAGTGTCTTTGGTTAGTTAGATGATTTTTCTTTTCTTTTTTCTCTTGGATGACTTGGGAATTTGACCGTTTCGTTTTTAAAAAAGATACATGATTGATGATTGTTGGTTTACCCAGCTGGCAATTGCTAGTGATCCACCGAGTCTCACAGGTTGGAGTCTGTCAATTTGTTGTTATGATGAATTAGCTTTAAAAAAATATTAAAAAGTTCCTCAAAAATACGAGCACTCGACCTTGTCACTGTGTGCTAACCTGGGATCGTCAATAGAGTTCATGTTGACGGGTATTTTTAAAAAAGTTAGATTGACGAATAGCCAAAACCGCATTGACTGTTGAATATGAAATTGATTTTCATGGAATTATAAGTTAATAGTCGTTAGAATGTTAATTGAACAAATTGTCTATCTGGAAAACAAAAATAAAAAGTTTGATAATTGATTGTTTATTTAATTGAAAAGTCGTCGATCTAGAGGAATATGTATATGCTCGGTTCAAGTTGACCTGAGTGTTCAGACAAGAGAAATTGTCCTGAAGCTCTCTCCCAGTTTCGATGCTCTCCATGAAATCCAACCGGTTGAAATTTTTAGAAGTTATGTTGTGGAGAATTTTTGAATTTGATCGAGGGCTAAAATTGTGTTTGCAGCCTCTGAGGTTTTCGCCAAAGGCTGAGGTAGACTTCGTGAGATGTTCCAGAATGCGCACTTTGAGTGGTCTACAAGTGCGGCCAATGTAGGTGCTGTTGCATGAGTTGCAATTTAATTTATAAATTCCACTTTTGGCATAATGGTCCAGTTAATCTTTGGAATTTACAAGGTGTAAATGAACTGTTATTGGTTCTGTATGAAATTTTAATATTTTCGACACTTTGATTGTCGTTCATATCTGAATCGAAAAAGGGTAGTGCCACATATCTATTGGTAGGATTGTTGCGCTACTACCAACAACCCGATGGACTGGCCATGGGAAGTTGCTTATCACCTTTTCTGGCAGGCATTTTTACGGATTTTCTCGAAAATAATCATATAATCACTAATACAAATAACGAGATACTTCACTGGTTTAGATACGTTGACGATTGTTTGTGTTTTTTGGATTGGAACCAAGATCAAGCTGAACATCTGCTTCAAAAAATAAATAAATACATCCATTTCGTTCACCTTGGAAATTGAGAAAAACAATAAAATTAATTTCTTGGATATCTCCATTTTAAGAGATCACACAAAGCAGCTAAACTTCTTGATCTATAGGAAACCTACACAGACTGATGATCCTATCCCTGATCATTCCCATCAACCAAAACAACATAAATTTGCAGCTTTGCATTGTTTTGGCAACAGACTCCTCAACATTCCCCTTTCAAAGGAAGATTATAACAATGAAATTAAGATTCATAAACAAATAGCATACAACAACCATTATAACCCTAAAATCATTAACGCACTTATAGTTAAAACTAAATATAGGAATCTCAAGGAAGAAATCTACCCTATCATTAACAATCCCACCTATAGATATGTGGAACTAGCCTTTTTGGATTCAGATACTAACACCAAAGTTCTTCAAACCCTTCGCGAAAGTGTCGAAAATATTAAAATTTCATACAGGACCAATAACAGTTAACATTTATTTACACCTCGTAAATTCAAAAGATAAACTAGACCATCTTGCCAAAAGTAGAATATATAAATTAAAGATTAAGAAAACTGCCAGTGAACTGAGACTCTGAGACCAATAAATATGCTGGCGACTTTTGAAAAAATTATTGAGAAAGTTATCTATGATCAATTTATGGAATATATTTTAGAAAAGAAAATATTGTATGCAACCCAATCAGGTTTCAGACAAAGTCATAGTTGCGAAACAGCCATTCAAAATATTTTATATGATTGGAAGAACCAACTGAATAGTGATGTTATGATTGGAGCGGTTTTTCTTGATTTTAAAAGGGCATTTGAGACTATCAACAGGTGTAGCTTAGTGCAAAAATTGCAAAAATATCGTATAACGGGTGTAGCTCTGGAGTGGTTTCAGAACTATTTGCAGAATAGGAAACAGAACACATACATAAACAACATCACTTTTCCGGAAATTTTAAACGATAATAGTGTGCCGTTTTTTTGCCTTTAAAACGAGAAATGCCTTTAAATTGCCTAGTTTCGTTTTGGGTGGGACGCGTCATTGTCAAATTTTTTGACATAAATGTCAATAAATGTGGTACCGTTGAAAAGAGAATTTAAAGAGCTTTCATTTAAGGGGTCAGTCGACCCACTTTCCCTATTTAATTTTTAGGGGTTGAACGCGCCCCCGCTAAGGGATGAAAGATAGGTCATTAAAGATGAATTTGAAAGTTGTCCCCTTTCGTGTAAAAATCGACGTGTTTAAGTGTTTTTCATTTAAATAATTCTAAATATACAAAAACTCCTCTGTTTCGTTTTAGTTGGGACACCCTGTATACAGGGTTGGTTAAATGCGGGCAAAGTTGTGTAATTTGATGCTTAACAAAATGCCGCTTTGATATTAAGGATATTCCGAGTACTTCCGGAGATATCCGGAAAAAACCGAAATTTTGCAAAATTGTTTTAATTTTTTCCTGACTTTATTTGGAGTGATATTCCAAAAAAAATATCACATCATTGTAGCCACTTTTTCTTCTCTACAAGATGCTACCATCAAATTTATAATCTGACGTTTCGTCTTTGGGCCACCATCATCAACTCTATTTTTTTAAATACGACCCTGGATTTTTTATTTCAGATTTTTAGTGCTTCTGATGTCCCAAAACCTATGACGTATCGCATTTATTCGAAAAAATGTTTTTTCTATTTTTTAGTAATTTCCTACCAAAATTCTTTTCTCTGTCTCTCTCTAACACATTTAACAAGTCAGGAAAAAATAAAAACAATTTTGCAAAATTTCGGTTTTTTTCGGATATCGCCGGAAGTATTCGGAATATCCTAAATATCAAAGCGGCATTTTGTTAAGCATCAAATTACGCAACTTTGCCCCCATTTAACCAACCCTCTATATCTTACCGTTTCCGAGATCCCAATGATGTGGCTCGAATTTGAAACACCCTGTTGCTTAAACTTTACAACAAAACTTAAAAAGTAATGTGGATCCTTGTTCTCATTTATTATTTATTGGATGTCACAATTAATGACACATTTGTACTGGAAACTACAGTTTATTTTTTTCCCAAGACAGATTTTGGCATTGTCAACTTTGAAACATAAACAATGCCGCTAATGCCGCTTATTGGCCCTCATTGTAAAACTGATGTCAACCTGCAGGAACACCTCATTTTGCGACCAATCAGGGTCAAGAATTATTGTTTATGTTTCAAAGTTTTCAATGTCAAAATCTATCTTGGGAAAAAATAAAGTGTACAAACATATTGGAACTTAATAAAATCTTTAGAGGAATAAAAAACAATAAATCCAGTGGGCACGATAATGTTTCAATAAATTTGCTTAAAAACTTACCTGATAATGCATTATTGTCTGAATGTATTAATATTTCATTTTAAACAGGAGTATTTCCAGACTGCCTGAAAAAAGCTATAGGTTTGTGTCTTTATAAAAGTGGCGAATTGGACAACCCATGTAATTATCGGCCAATATCACTTTCCTCGACGTTGTCAAAAATAGTTGAAAAGTTAGTTAAAGAAAGAATGTTAAAATATTTTTCAAAACACAACATAATAAGTGACACTCAATTTGGATTTAAGGGCACCCATGATGCCATGTTTAATCTTTTAGAACAGGTATTCATCAGTCCTAATGAAAGTGAGCTTGTTGCTATTGTGTTTTGTGATTTCTCTAAAACCTTTGATTGCGTAAATCATAAAATAATGCTTAAAAAGCGAGAAATCTATGGCTTCGGAGGAATCTTATACTCATGAATCTTATTTCTCAGGAAGAGAACAATTTTGTGATAGGTACTCAGTCATCAAACTTAGCTGTGACCAATGGTGTTTCACAAGGATCTGTGTTGGGACCAATATTGTTTTTACCTTATTTAAATGATATTAATCACCTAAATAAATAACTAAAATAACATCATTCGCTGATGACTACTCTGTCCTGGAAAGGAACAAATATTGAAGAGTTGAAAAAGATTATTTCTAAAGACCTAAATCTTGTAAAGAGCTGGTGTGAGTCTAACTGGCTTTGTTTTAATTCTAAGAAAACCAACATTATGACATTTAAATTTTTTTTGATGATTTAATATTAGACACAATTAAAAACAAGACAAGCTGTAAATTACTTGGTATTCATGTGAATACTCAACTTAAGTTTAATGAACACGTTACAAATTTGAAGAAACGATTGACAAGTGGTTGCTATGCTGTAAGAATAGCGTCAAATGAACTTGATTTAAATACTGCTAAGTTGGTTTATTTCTCGTTGAATGAATCACATATCAGGTACATATGGCAATGCATTTTGGGGTAACTGTTCTAATATATTGTTTGATTTTGTTTTTGTCATTCAAAAGAGAGCAGTGCGTTATTTGTGTAAGGTTGAATATTGGGAGCATTGCAAGCCACTATTTTTAAAACATAGAATACCCACAGTATGCTGTATATTCCACATGGAAACTGCTTGCCTTATGCACAAAAAACATTATGATAAGTTAAAATATCCAAGAACTTATCCAACTAGGCAACAACTTAAAATTCAACTCCCTATACCCAAGACTGCATTGACGTAAAATTCACTTATTTATAAAAGTAGGCAAATTTTGAATCATCTGCCTGTTAACTTAAGGCAAGTAGGTGGTTTTGAAAAGTTTAGACTAGAGCTCAAAAAATTTTTACATGGAAACGCCTACTTATCATATTAATGAATTTTTCAATGAAAAATTTTAATTTTGTTTGTTTCAGTGTTACTTTCCAGTATTCTCTACAGATTTTTCAATAATGAAAATATTATTCTTAGAGTTACAAAAATGAGATGAAGAAAGTTTTTCTCTTACTTGCAGGTTGCACTGATGATGGCCTAAGGTCGAAAGCGCCCTGCACTGAAATGATTTAGTAAATTGTACGACATACAAAACCCTTCTTCTTTCTTCTACATTTCCTATCGTGCACGCAACCTCACACTTCATTGTTACCTATAATAATGTCCATTTTTCCATTTTCTACAATTAAGAAAAAAAGATCCTATTTTCTCTTTCAGCTGAGGTAATTATAGAAGTAGCTATCGATCAATATACAGGTAAACATTTTCGAATGTCAACCATTGGAATCTCGAAAACGGTAAAGGACAAAATTGCGTAATTTGATGCTCAATAAAATGCAGTTTATTCGAAAAGAAATGATATTGATTCAGAGAGATTGATTTATTTACTGTAATCCGATATTTTCCAGAAAAATTGTGATGCATCACTGGGTTTGAGGGCAAATTATTTTAAGGAGCTAAATATGCTCTGAACAAAGAATTCATAAATGCGAGGCCATATTTAAAACAATAAAGTTAATGATGGGCGCTCTGAGACGAAAAGTTAAATTTGAAATTTAATATTCATCTTGTAGGGAAATAAACTGGCAGTGATAAAGTGCCATTTGTTTTAGAAAGCTCTTCAAATAAGCCCAAAAAAAAAAATTAACAAGCTTTTGCTAAATTTGGGGTTTTTACGAATATCTTGGAGTTTATGAAATGGCAAAACAACATCAAATTAGGCAACTTCGCCCTAATTTGTTTGATCTCCCAATGGTTGACCTCGAAAAATGGACACCCTGTATAACTTGTGAAAATTGGTTGATGCTTTAAACTTCAATATCGTTCTTTCAAGTTGATCCTGATAATTTCAAAAGAAGTACAGTATAGGGTGTAGAGAACTAGGTACTCAACTGGACCAAAATGCTTTCGAGACAAATTAGCTATCCAAAAAGTGGTATGGCCTTAGAACTAGACATATCAAATATTATTTCCTTGAATTAATCCACAAAGTTAGTTTTAGTTAGAGCCTTAGCCAATATTAAATTGTTAGCTGAAATGTATTATTTGACATTACCCCAACACTCTATACGGTTCATCTGTTATAGCGTGGCAAAAAAAAAACACCAAGAATCATGCTATGTAAGTAACAATAAGAAAAATTAAACAGCAATGTTGAGGTTCGTTAACGTTTTTTTATTAAAATTTAACAACGTTACAACTTTTCGACCGACACCAGAAAGTTTAATTCTCGAAAACGTTCTTTTCTCATCTAACATGCAGTAACTACGATATAAAATTGAGAAAAAAACGTTTTCAAAAAAAAACAAGCGCTAAATTAAATTAAAAAGTAAAATAGTAGCAATACATCTACAAGCTAAAAAAACACAGCTACAAAATGTACTCTAAAATAATAAGAAATTAAAAACAATCTAAGTTCATGCTAGTGCTTAATACTAAATTTGAAACAAAAATAATAACATTAAGGGATGAGGGTGGATTTTTTAACTTACATATTATGTTTGGAAGACTCTCCTGTGAGTAGCCTTTTAATAAAAAATTATTATGTTCTCCTCAATCTCAAATTAAGCTAAATATATACAGAATATAATTTAAAATTAAGTATTTCATCACTAGCCCAGATGTTTTTTGTCTTTGTTATATTTCTTGACCTAACTAGACTAAATTTAAAATAAAATACAAATGTCTTTTTACAGTAATAGCACCTAATTAGTAACAGAAGCTCATGGGAACTTTTCGAGTGAAAAGCATCCAAGACCCTCGTGTATATGTGTGTATAGTATGTATGTATTTACATTGTCAACAGAATAACGGAGCACTGCAAAAATAGCTTTTGCTTGAACGCGGGTGAAAAAAAAAAATTAAATAATTAGTTATGATAGGAGGATTGTAAAATTTAATTACAATAATTATATTCCTAAGTTTCGGCAAGATGTTATCTTTCAAGTCTTTTATAAAAAAAAATGAAAACACCATTTGGATTTTTAATTATTATAGCAGTAACCAATCAAATCCGTAGCATATAGATAATTTAAAATTGATATGATTGGTCTACGCAAGTGGAATAGATCTAAAAAGTACACTACCAGGTGTGGTATGTGAAACTGGAACAGTAGGGTACCTTATTAAAAGTGATCTATTAGTGCTTTTTAAAATTACATCAATTTTCTCTTGAAAATTTTTAGAAAATATGATATCAACCTGACATAATATGGGGGTTGATTGCAAAACTAAGTTTATGGATAAACTGACGAAACAAACTAGAATTTTTAGTGGGGTAAATTTCAGATCTTTTGAGAATGCTGCAGCCAGCATTAACTAGGAGAATATTAAAGCTTCAGCCATCTCAGTAAAAACGTTAAAAACTCTTCAGGATATCTTTAATAAAAGCTTCCCTCTTCAAAGAGTAAAGACATATTCGTCATATTCTATATACAGTACGATTAGTACAGTACGAATATATTATATTAATTCAAAAATTGTTTTTGGTTGTTTAATTATGCAACATTTGTTCCAGGTACCCAAATCTATTGTACGATGACAATGTAATACACAATCGAAAATCCAAATACTGTTTTCACCATATCGAATTAAAAATTTCCTACCGCTCAGTCTTAGTGCTCCAGTCACTATCGTTCAAATCAACCGTGGACCCAATACCCCTCGCAATGACAAAACTATTCGTTGCAAACACAGTATCATAATGCGAGTTTTCATTAATATTCCCTATCGACCTGCTAATCCTGTGATTCCGATATAACCCTCCGCCCCCTCTAATCACCGGATCTGTTGCAGTGCTCACAGTCGTTATGCTATTATTACGGTTCGAACCATTACGTTTCCACTCGAGCGGGCTCAGAGTAGCGGCCATTTTGTGGAACAGCCTGAGCCCCCTCGAGTAGGTCGATTTGGTGCTCAAAGTGGGCGAAACGTTACCTATGTCGGTGCTGTGCGGGTGGTTCCTCCCCTGCGACATTCTCGTTTTGTCCAAGTTGGGAGCGCTCTTCGACCAGATGGCACTGCTTTTCGCTGCGGGCAGCATGATTTGGCCTCTCTCCTTTTGATGGCACGTGCTCGGACCCCAAGTCTTACCTTTAACACCATCCGCGGGGACTAAAAGAAAAGTTTTGGATTCCCTATTTTGGTGACTATTGGCATGGGTTTTTATTGATTGGCAAGTGTTACTGAGAACCGTGTATGTTGTGATGTTTTTTGACATTTATTAATATCGCAATTTTTTTCTTTAAATTTAAACACAGAGTGTCTCTTCCAAATTTGTTACCCAACTAATTACCGAGAGAGCAACATTGATGTTTAGGATGGCCTAAAATAGTTATGTTTATGCAACAAGTGTGTAAAGTGAACCTTTTTTCACGAATCAGGCGAGTGCGACAATCACACGAGTGAAAAAAGGTGCTTTACGCACGTATTGCATACAATTTTTTTTCTACTACCAACCAAATATGTTCAAAAAAATGAATTTAAACAAACTGTTACTGCACGCAATATATTTTTTTACTTTTATTTCAACTCTGACATAACCAGTATTTTTAAAAAGGTATTAGCAATGAATATAGGTGAAATAAAACTATTCTTCAGTGGTTTTATCAACATTGTCCCCCACGGTGTTGACAACCATGTCATCAACACTAGTAATTAGTTTAAATATTTTTCGGGCAGGACGCTTGAAAACCCCGTGAGAATTACGAACTTCAATAACTCTATCAAGGTCTTTATACGTCTTCGTAATAACTCCAAGTGGCCAAATATTTCTCGGAAAATTATTTTCATTTATTAAAACCAAATCTCCTTCTTTTAAATTTATATCATCTTTGTTCCATTTGGGTCGTATGATTTGATCTGCTAAATATTCTTTTAGCCATCCCTTCCAGAAAATGTCTGTGAAATATTGAGATAATCTCCACTGTTTTTTTTTATTTAGTACCTACATATAAATCATGCTCCAAAAATAATCCTGGTAATGGTCTACTATTCACAAAATATTCACATTCAGTGAATAGTGTCCTTAAAACTTCATCTGTAGGATGTCTATCTTTCATTACAGCAGTTAGAGAACGTTTAAAACAACCAATCATATGTTTCCACGAACCTCCCAGGTGAGGTGTAATGGGCGGGTTAAATTTCCAATCTATTCCTAAATTAGTTATATTTATGGCAACTGTTTCTAGATTTAATTCTTCAATTGCTTCCATAAGTTCACGACTGGCACCTTTAAAATTAGTCCCATTATCTGATAAAAATACTTTCACTGTCCCCCTCCGAGCTAGGAATCGTCTAATTGCCAATATACAAGAATCTGTATTTAACGAATGAGCAATTTCTACATGGATACAGCGCACTGTGAGGCAGGTGAAGAGAACTCCGTAACGTTTTTCCAATCTTCTACCAATTTTTACTTCAAATACTCTAAAATAATCCACACTAGTTGCAGAATAGTATATTAAAATACAAGTTGTAGAAGGCAACATTCAACACTCATCCATTCATCCACTCGTTCCTTCGTCGCTCGTGTCCAAATTTCGAATTCGTGCGGAAATAGTCTTCTGCAACGTGAGTTTTATACTATTTTCTCGATTTTGGATTTTATTTTTAATTTTTTAACAAAAATTTGTGGTCGCTGTTAGTTGGAATTTTTTTTTTGCAAAATATGTCAGTTGGTGACACTTACTTAACAACCAACTGATAGATAGATTTCATTATTTTAGAAGGTTTGACAATTTTGAAGGTACCAATGGGTGTACTTTGAAACAAAATGTCACTAAAAATCGTTGAAGAATGAGCTTCATTCTTCAATGATTTTGCGTGCGGGAATAATGACATTCTCACATCAAAATCGAGAAAATGGTTTTTTATAGTACACAAGTCGTTCTTTAGGCAGAAGTCCCCTCTCTGGCTCAACAGCTTTTGCATATCGACGTCTAGATGTGATGCATTTTTTCAAAATTTTCTTGACTCATGAGCGTGTTTTGGGAATGTAAAATTTTCTTTTTAAATTATTTATTACTGTTTCAATCCCTTGGTGAGCAACTCTGTCATGAAAATGTAAAACCAACTTCTCAGTATACAGGTGTGAACCATCAAGAATAACTGGATCTTGTGGAAGGAAGATATTTTCAGTACGGTTCAGATTTGTTATTCTTGTAGATACTCTTAATATTCCATCTTCATCCAAAAATAACGAAAGTTTATTCAGTCTGCCATTTTTTGATGATATATTTTTTAGGTCCCTCGAAAAGCAGTTGCATTGAACGGATTTCTACCACTGTTCCTCAGCCCATAGATAATCTCCTGATGTAAAAAAAATCTTCTTTTTGTTTCTGTTTCTTCACTTTCAAAGTAAATAATTTAATTGTACAGGTTACCCTCATTAATTTAATCCAAGAATAATGTTTTAATTTTAGGTAAAGTTTCATTTACACAAGAATGTTTTGATTCTATAACTTCTAAATAAGTTTCTGTAGCTATTTCTTCTGGAATTACTGGTATTATTTTTGGCCAATTCGTTTCTTCATAATATAAAAACCTTGGACCATTAAACCATTTTCCGTAATATATGTCATTTTTATTTGAACTTCTTGTGCAAATATCTGCTACAATTTCTAAAGTGGGAACCCATTTCCATTTTTTAAACTTTGTTGTTTCTAAAACGTCTCCTACTCTTGGGGCAATAGAAGTCGGAAGTTTTTATTCTGTTTCAAGCCATCTTAGCACTGTTCTGGAGTATGACCAAAAATATTTGTTTTTAATTTCCAAGCCCAGTTGTTCTTCTACAAGTTGAGATAATCTATCACCCATTACTGCAGCTAGTAACTCAAGTTTTGGTAAGGCAAGTGTTTTTAGTAGAGCTACTTCAGCTTTTGAGAATACAAGAAAAATGTCAACTTTGTTTTCTGATACAATTCGAAGGTAACTTGCTGAAGCGTAAGTTTCTTCGCTAGCATCACAGAAGGTATTGATTTCCAAATACTTTGCTTTTTGTAATAATTCTAAATAACAGCTCGGAATTTCAATCAGCATAGAATTTTTATAGTACAGTAAATAGGGATATTTTACTAAAAAAAAATACTTAATGGCTGAAATTTTGAGGGTGTGTTCGGGGGCATTTCCTGAGTCTAAAACTGAGTTTTCGTATTCGAGGGGGTGGGGGAAGATACTACCCCCTCTTTATGTAGGGTTGAGTTCGTTTTAATTCCATATCTTCGGTGCTATTGCCCGTACCGTCAAGTCCGACAGATCAAATTTGTGGGAAATAAAATTATCTATTTAATGATGATAAAATCAAGGTCATACATAGGACGATTAGGTGAATCACAATGGTCGGTCAAAGGTTAAAAGTGGGGGGTAGTTTTTGATGTTTTTTCGTGAATACCGTGAAACCGGTAGGTTTTTTTGCATACTGCTCCGATACCATTTCGAAGTACTTGAAATAACCTACAAAATGAGTGCTCAAACACTCATCTACTGTGAATAGTTTGCCGTCAATCCAACGACCAAGTTGACCGCGCGCGCTTGGGAAGCGTCAGAGCAAAAAACGCCTAGAGACATTTTCGACGTATTTTTTCCTCCTCTATCCGATTAAAATTTTAATTTTTCAAAATTCGTGAAAATAAATGCAAAACGCGTATACCCCATTCTACGCCCTTTCTCAAAATTGGGAGATAGGGGCTAAAACCTTTCCTTTATGTCGTAGAGAGCTGAAACTTGAAATTTAACCTTTTTTAGACCCCTTTTACCTACACTTTAAATTTCATCCAAATCGGCCCAAAGCCCTTGGGACGTCATTTTTAGATCGCAAAGTTCTCGAGATATTGCGTTTGTTATGTTTTTCCCCCCCTCCAAAATTTTTTAAAAATTCGTGCCCCCATCCGTTTGATAGAGGAACTTTTTCTCTACTTTCCCTGAAAATTTCATTTCCGCCCCCCCCCCCCCCAACCGTTTGGGCTGTATAGGGGTCGAAAGTCAAAACTTTGACAGCTCCCCCAGGGTTTCCCAGGGGAGGGGGGGGGGGGGGGGGGAATGAAATTTGTTTTGGCTCGACAAAATTAAAAATTCCAAGTACCCTGAAAATTTTAACTTTCTGGCTTATCGGGAAGTACAACATCGGCGCGCGCGGTCAACTTGGTCGTTGGATTGACGGCAAACTATTCACAGTAGATGAGTGTTTGAGCACTCATTTTGTAGGTAATTTCAAATGCTTCGAAATGGTATCGAAGCAGTGTGCGAAAAAACCTACCGGTTTCACGGTATTCACGAAAAACCATCAAAAATTACCCCCCACTTTTGACCTTTGACCGGCCATTGTGATTCACCTAATCGTCCTATGACCTTGATTTTATTATCATTAGATAGATAGTTTTATTTCCCACAAATTTGATCTCTCGGACTTGACGGTACGGGCAATAGCACCGAAGATAAGAAATTGAAACGAACTCAACCCTACATAAAGAGGGGGTAGTATCTTCCCCCACCCCCTGGAATACGAAAACTCAGTTTTAGACTCAGGACATGCCCTCGAACACACCCTCAAGATTTCAGCCATTAAGTATTTTTTTGTAGTAAATGCGATTTATTTGTCTCTATTTACTGTACTATTAAGATTGTTTAACCAATTTTTCCAGATAAGTACCATATTTGAACCAATGGCATCATCCCATCCAAGACCGCTTCTCCAAATTAGTTGTAATAAAATTCTTACTTTAATGCTTATTGGTGAAAGTAATCCTAGAGGATCATATATTGACAGCAGTTTTGAGAACTTGTCTTTTTGTCGGAATTCTATGTAGTACTATTGAGAATAGCTTTAGGAATTTTATTAAATCTAAGCTTGAAATTAAAATTATCTGTATGAGAGTTCCACATCATGCCAAGAACTCTTTGTTGATTTATGTTTCTGTTTACTTCTGTGCTAATTTAATCAGCTAATAACTGTGCAGGGATATTCGCAAGTACTTCAGATGAATTGGAAGTAAAATTTCGAATTTCGAAACCACCTTTTGCGTGAATTTCAATAACTTGCTCAATCCGGTTTACTGCTTCTTTAACTGTTGTTGTCGAATCAAGCCAATCGTCCACGCTGCTTCTGGAAAAGGGTC